AATCGTGCTAAGCAAGCTTCCTTTGATCGCTGAATGCTGGAATGACCTGAAGGTCTCATCATCATTCGCTGAAGCTAGAGCAGTCTTCACACATATATAGACAGGCTTATAATCACTGAATACCGCTTCAGATCACGTACTCGCTGATCTCTAATCTTCAGTTTTAGTCTTCGACGTTTGCTGAAGGTTATTTGGTGTGAATGTTGTCTTCTTGAAGTATTGCTGTCTCTGATAGATTTATAATGCAAGTTCTTCAGCKATCACTGAACATACTCAGTGAAGATCGCTGGAACTGAAAATACAAAAACACAAATACAACATGAAAGAGAAAAAGGATTATCATCAAATCACTGAGAGAGATGATCAACATCTTTAATGTATGGAACACGCCCTAAATGGCTAAATCATTCTCGAGCCTCTAACTAGTACTTATCTTTTAACAAATGTCACTAGTATTGTTTCATAAAGACTAAAAAACAAGGGTCTTGGTGCCCGACTCCTCATGTGTTCTTCACTACAATATCTAGGGTCCTGAAGTCCAACTCAACATAAGATTACCTCCGCAATATCCATGGTCCCGGAGTTTGAGTCGTTAAGAGTTCACCTTCACAATACCAAAATGACCATAATGCCTACACTAGTTGTGATCACAAAGTACGAACATCAAAGTTTCTCACTTATCAAACACAAGTACACGATTAACTCTTATGCCTATGAATTCAATACATTAAAGTCTAAATTAATCAACACATTGAAAAAATGTAATTCCAAAGAAAATTCAACGTTTACAAATCAATATCCAAGTATCACCATTGAATACTCAAAAATCCCAAAACCAATTTGCAAAATTAAATCAACAATCTCCAGACAATTTGACTACTAAAAAATTCAATATAAATCAAATGAAATGCAATTTTATCAAGTACTCAACAACTATTTGATAAATCACAAGAAAAACATTTTGAAACTCCAAAATGAACATTTTTTTGGCATGTACATAGTATTCACAAAACAACATGAAACTCACCTTGCTAAAAACATTAGCTAAATCTTGAATCCCAAATTTTGCTTCAATTGATGAAGATCTCACTATCTGCAAATCATCTCCAACAAGGATCTAAGGTTTCCAAACTAACGAATACATTTGAACCCAACATCCTTTCACCTCCAAGAAAAACTCATTTATTAGTCCTACAGATAATCAATATCACTTCTAAGAGAGTTGGATGAAAAGATGGAATGAAAGACAAATCTTACCTCAAATCCTTCAAACATCTCCTCATAAAGGGAACTTAGAATCACCAAGCTAAATATTCTCCAAAATGCTCCATCATGCTTCAAAGATGTTCCAAGAATACCAAAAAATCGTCCAATATGAGAGAGTATAGAGAAATGGGGCCAAACCTTTAAAAAGAAGTTTTAAAATAAACGAAACATGCAACATGACCTGTGGCGCAAGTAAGGTCATGGAAAAGGTCGCCAACCTTCTACCAGTCTTTGTGCACCTTCTTCTGGGGGCCAATGTCTAAGGCAGCCTACCTCATGACTTAGGTTGCATGACAGGTTGCATGGACCTCCATGGAGCTCAAAATCCTTCGTTTTTTTTATGCCTTTTGAACTCGAAACATTGTATGACATTTATACACAAACACCAAAGGATTATCTAAGAAATCCCTCAGTTATATTTACTACAACTGTGGTTGTTATATTGACATACATTGAACCATTTTGGGACAAAATCAAACGACCTCCCCTGTCCACATCGTCGCTGCTAGGATCGTGCACCGAGGTCGCAGGCTTGTGCATCGTGCATCACGACCCTGGCCTACACAACATGCTCTACGACTGCCAACACGAGCAATTGTCAGGCCATCGTTGTGCGTCAATACCCTGCAGTCGGTTTTTGGGTCGTACCTGGGATTCTAGGGTATCTCGGTTTTTGAGTCGTGCTGTATTTTCTTATCTTTGTTATGGTGTTTAAATTAGTTACAAAATTGTATATATATTTATAAAATTAGTTATTTTATGTTCCCATCTAAATATACATAATGAGTATGTATGGTAAAATTTTGTTTAATCACTTTATGTTAACGAATGCTGACAAGAAACGACTATAAATTAAGAAAATGCTGTGAGTGGATTATGTTTAAAATAATAAAAAATAATATTAAAAAAATAGAAAAAAGAAAAAGAAAAGGTGTAGAGTGATAGCATTTATTTTCCAGAAATCCTTGCAACTCAACCATAATAAATACCCTTTTCTCTCTCTTGAATACAAACAAACATTGCCATTGCTATCATCATCTTCTTCCTTTTTCCCTCTGCTAACAAATAACTCAAATTTTACCCATCTCTTCTTCTCTCTAACCATCTCCACTTATTGATAGAATTATTATTTCCAAAAAGCTTTTTTTGTTTCTATTTTCAGTTCATACATACATACATACATACATACATATACATACATACATACAGTGAGAGAGAGAGAGAGAGAGATCTTCATCGTCATCTTCTTGAGTCCACATACTGAATGGAGGAGAAATTATGAGGGTGGGTTTTTTCTGTGAAAACAAACCTTCTCATCTTTCTTCTTCCCATTGAATTTTTATACCCTCTTTTCAGAAACTGATTCTTTCTTTCTTTTCTTCTTTACCCATTTCAGATTTGGGGGTGTTGTTCCTATTCATATTTCATCACAATTTCCCAATTTCTTTCTACTTTTCAATTACTTGTAGCTTCTCAGATTTCTCGATTTCAGACCAAACCCTTGTAGAATCAATCGAATTGATTCTGTAACGTATATTATGAGGGCAGGATTGAGTACGATTCAGCAAACCCTAACGCCGGAGGCGGCCACCGTCTTGAACCACTCCATAGCAGAAGCTGGCCGTCGGAACCATGGCCAGACGACGCCTCTTCATGTCGCTTCCACCCTTCTTGCCTCACCCACGGGTTTCCTCCGGCAAGCTTGCATCCGGTCTCACCCGAATTCTTCTCATCCTCTCCAGTGCCGTGCCCTTGAGCTCTGTTTTAGCGTGGCGCTCGAGAGGCTCCCCACCGCCACGTCATCGCCGGCCGTCACGGAGCCACCGATTTCTAACGCCTTGATGGCGGCTCTAAAGCGGGCGCAAGCCCATCAACGGCGTGGGTGCCCGGAGCAACAGCAACAGCCACTTTTAGCGGTTAAGGTGGAGTTGGAACAGCTAATTATATCCATACTTGATGACCCGAGTGTGAGTCGGGTCATGCGTGAAGCTAGCTTTTCTAGCCCTGCTGTTAAAGCTACAATCGAAGAGTCTTTGAGTAATAACAATCTAAATCCGTCGAGTCTTGGGGTCGGATTCCGGCCATCTCCGTCGCCGACAACCACGCCGGTTTCAATACCCATAAACCGGAATTTGTATTTGAATCCACGGTTACAACAAGGGAATCAGCAAAAGAACGATGAATCAACGGTGTCATCATCATCAACTCCAATAAATCTTTATATACAGCAACAGCAACAGCAAAAGAATGATGAAACATCATCGGCTCCAAGAAATCTTTATCTGAATCCAAGGTTACAACAACAACATCAAGGGAATCTTCTAAGTTCAAATCAATTAGGACAGCAACAGAGAAATGATGATGTGAAAAGGGTCATTGAGATTATGACCAAACCCAAGAAAAAGAATCCGATTCTAGTGGGGGAATTGGAACCTGAAGCAATCAGGAAAGAGATCATGAGACGAATCGAAAAGGGTGAATATGGAGAATTGAAGAATGTTCAAGTGATTTCAATTGAAAAAGAGTTTGCATCTATGTCGGATAAATCGCTAATGCCCACCAAGATCCAGGAATTGGGTAATCTAATCGATATAAAAATTGGGACTTGTGATGGTGTCATAATCGACCTTGCTGACCTGAAATGGCTGGTTGAGCAACCACCGGCGACAATTGTTTCTTCCGTCGGCCGTGAATCTGTGGCGGAGATGGCCAAATTAGTTTCAAAATTCTCCGGCAAAGTTTGGCTGATCGGCACAGCTACTTGTGAGACTTACTTGAGGTGCCAAGTTTATCATCCATCCATGGAAACTGATTGGGATTTACAAGCTGTCCCAATTACATCAAGATTACCTCTCCATGGCGTCTTCCCAAGGTAAATTTTCATTCAAAATCTTTCTAATTTCAGTAGATTCTGTTGATGACTTGTGGTTTTACATAAATTTGTCTTTGATTTATTATAGGATGGGGACAAATGGAATTCTTGGTGCTACTTCAGTTGATTCTTTAAATCCAATGAACAACTTCTCGTCGAGAACACGCTGCTGTCCGAAATGCTCCGGTGATTATGAACAAGAATTAGCAAAACTAAAGGAGTCATCTTCTGATGAGATTAAGAGCAATCTACCTCAATGGCTGCAAAATGCAAAAACAGAACATCAGTCGCAGGTGAGACTGAGATCAAATATTTTGTGTTAGTTCGGACGGTTGCTCTGTTTTTCGTTTCGTAATTGTTGCTTTCTTTTCGGTTTTCACAGGTTAAGGATCAAGAACAGGTTTTGAAACAGAGGATTCAAGAATTGCAAAAGAAATGGAGTGATACATGTTTGCGAGATCATCCGAATTATAATCAATTTCCAAGATTGGATAGATTGGCTCCGATGCTTGTACCTTTGACTGGAACGTACAAGCCGAACATGCTTCTACGACAAGGCCAGCCCGCTCAACAGCCACGGTTACAACCACCAACAAGTCTTCAAGAAGCTTTGCAATCGAAATCGAATCTCAATACCACCCAACAACGATCGTTAGAGCTTCCACGGAGCCCGGTTCGTACAGAACTTGTTCTTGGACCAAAGAAAGCATTGGAAACCCTTGTTCCAAAAGACAACGAGGATTTGACGGTTAAGGATCTTTTAGGCTGCATCTCTTCCGAACCCGAAGGCAAGATTCAGGAGTTTCACAAGGGTAAATTCGCTAATGCAGCGGATACCGACTCTTTCAAGAAGCTGCTCAAGGGTTTAATGAAGAAGGCGTGGTGGCAGCCGGAGGCGGCTTCCGCTATTGCTACCACTATAACACAATGCAAAGTGGACAGCGGTTCTAGGGGTAGCGTGTGGTTATTGTTTGCCGGGCCCGATCGGGTGGCAAAGAAGAAGATGGCGTCGGTCCTAGCCGAGCACGTCTGTGGGGCCAATCCAATTACGATTGGGCTCGGGTCAAGGCGTGACGATGAGGAAACAGATATGGGACTTCGTGGTAAAACCGTGTTGGATCGCATCGTTGAGGCTGTTCGTAGGAACCCGTCTTCTGTAATCGTTCTTTCGGACATTGATGAAGCTGATATGTTGGTTCGTGGAAGCATAAAACGAGCGATGGAGAGAGGTCGGTTGACCGATTCTCACGGACGTGAAATTAGCCTCGGGAACGTTGTATTTGTGCTCACGGGGAATTGGTCGACCGCGAACATTGATGAGCATCTGGTTGACGAGCAACGGTTGCGCTTGATAGCAAGCAGAGATTGGCAGTTGAGGCTAACGGTCGATGACAAAAGGTTGAAACGGAGATCCAACTGGTTGTCGGATAAGGATCGGTCACGGAGACCGAGGAAAGAATCGGGATTGGATCTGTCACTTGATCTTAACCTAGCCATGGACTATGAAGAAGATCGAACCGATGGCTCGATCAACTCGAGCAATCTCACCATGGACCAAGAAGACGAGAATCAACGATTTGCAGTTATGTCCGTACCTCACGAGCTTGTCGGGCCTAGCGATGGGGCGGTCGTGTTCAAGCCAGCCAATTTCGGGCATATTCGTCGTGAGATCGAGAAAACCATCAAGAGCGCGTTTTCAGCCACAGTTGACGAGAAAATCACGATCGAGGTCGAGGAGGCGGCGGTCGAGAATATATTGGGCGGGTTGTGGTTCGGTCGAACAAGCCTAGAGGAATGGGCTGAACAAATATTGATTCCTAGCTTCCACCAGCTCAACTCGCGGTTACCATCTACAGGCGGAGAAATGGTGGTCCGACTCGCGTCCGATCGTGATTCCGTTTCGGTGGGCGGTGGTGGCGATTGGTTGCCGAGCAAAATCGCGGTGGTGGTTGATGGAGTGGGAGGTTGAGGGGTGTGATTTGCCACTCTTCATTCACCTGGGACTATATATGTAAATAGTTGGGGAGAAAGGGAGGTATAGTGAAACGTTTAGGAAAAGTGAGGACCGTTAATAGAAGTTACGGTTCTCATATTTCGTTTTCTTTTTTAAATTGTTTTTTTTTTCTTTTAATTTTCGTATAAATATTCAAAGTAACAATCACCTTTTAAGTGTGAGCAATAAGATGAGGCATTACTCCTTTTTGGGCCCTTGATATCTATTTTATTTCTATTTCTGGTTTTTTAATAAATATTTTTGATTTGAGAAAATGTCATCCAAATATGTGAATAGAAAAACGAGTTTCAAAACTAAAAGGGGTAAAATGGTGTAAAAAGTATCTGGGAGGGGTAATGTAGGAAACAGATAAAAGTGAAGGGAGGTGATTGTAAAATATGGTTTGCGGTGTTTCACTTTCACATAGGCAGATAAAATTTAAGTGGTCAAAAGAGCACTTTTTGGTTTTATTAATTATATTAAATAATAATAATAATAAAAAAATAGAATGGAGGTAGTAAATGGGTCTAAAGAAAGCACACGTCTTCGCCTCAATCTATGTCAACCTACTCTACTTCTGTAACTACCCTTTCTATTTTTTATTTATTTATTTTTATGATATTTTAAGAATATATATATATATATATATTTAAAAAAAATTAAAATAGGAATCAAATAAATGTTGAATTGAATAGAAATGGTTTTAGTAATGTTATGATTTGTATGTGAAGAAATTTGTATAAATAATGGAAGAGGATGAGATCATTCATGATTTTGATTCTCTATTAATTGGTGAAGTCATCAATGACACACTTCTTTTACAAACTATTTTTTAACTCTAATATTTATTATATTTTATATTATGATTATGTAGGTTTTATATTTAATTTTTATTTTATATTTTATTTTTAAAATAATAACGTAGACAAAAAAATTCGGTGTTTTTTAAATATTTTATTTTAACCATCTTTTACAAAATTGGAGTGGAAGGTTGAATAGGTTTCAGAAATTCATATTTACCTTTTTCATTTAAGCGTATAGATTTTTCTAATAAATAATATAAATTATTTTAAATATAATTAAATAAAATAATTAAAAATTTTTATTAAAAAATAATGTCAAAAACGAATTGTATTATGAACTTTATCATTCTGTGATGAATCTCAAAACTGTAAAAGAAATGAGAGACACCCTCTGTGTCTAGTATGAAGGTATATCTGAAGTCTAGAAGATAATGAAGATAAATATGGTAAAACAATATGATATGTTCATTTGTGGTAAGAATGAATCTATGTTTGAAGTACATCAACGATTTAATTGTTTTCTTACAGATCTAAAAACTATTGGCAGAGAATATACTAATTTTGAAACTATGACAAAGTTTTTGGAATGTCTTCGCGAGTCATGTGATGGTTATTCAATGGACCTTAAGACTTCAAAGGACCTGAAAACTATGTCTCTTAGTGATCTTTTTGGCACCTTGCTGAACCATGAGCAATCTAAGGGTCTGAAGAAAAATTTCACAAGAGATACAAAAAGCTCTCACTTGGCTTTACTTTCTTTAGAGGCCAAATCTCTAAACAACCATCTTTTACTCACCAACACTGAACCTGATCTTTAACTGTGTGCATCTGAAGAAATCACTAACTTTGACCTTTCAGAGTTTGATGACTCACTGACCTTTCTAACTAACTCCTTTCGAAGGTGTCTAGGAAAAATAACTTTCGTGGAAACATGAGGTACGCTCTCACTGGCACGCCTAAATCAACTCCAGTTGGCAAGGCAATACTGCCATTTGCAATAATCGTAAAAAGAAAGGACATTTTACTAGTGAGTGCAGGTCCAAGAAAGTTGTCGAATCCTTTCCTCTTCGTTGTAAGGAAGCCAAATACCTAAAGATGAAAGAAAAATACCGGAAGGTTTAAAACTATTGAAGGAAAAGGCATAGGTATTGTTGATAGAACATGACTGGGTGGACTCTTCATCAGCCTCATCCACCTCTGATGAAAAAAATGTTATCTATCTTTGTTTGAGTGCAAGATTGAAGAAGTTAAGGATGAAACATTGAAAGCATCCACCTCCTCTCATCCAATTGAATCATCCACTACTCTTTAGGTATCAAGTTTTGATGATCCCTCTTTATCTGATGCTGACAAAAGAAAAGAACTTGATTATTTGACTCTTGACCTTTTCAATGCAATAAATGTCAAGACTAGAGGTGAATGACTAAATCTTGATTTAATCGAACAGCTTGAAAAATGCCATATTAAAATCAAAGAGTTAATGAAGATTGAAAATGATATTCTTGACCAAGTCATAGTTAATCAAATGGTCAGTGAAGAAAGAATACATGCTATCAAATCGAACGCACTTCTAACACCTGTTCCACTTTTGGAAACTTATAATGGCGAGAAATATATTATTTTAAATTAAACAAAGAAATTCCACGGTCAAACTACCAACCTTAAAGCTGAGAAAGCCATTGTCGAAGGATCATGCAAAGCCTCAACGAAAGTGACTAGAATGATTGAGTTTCAGATTCCGATTCAAGTCAAAAGTTGTGTGGGATATAACTCTGAAAAGGAAAATCCAAACAGAAATTTAGAATGTTCATGTCTTCTAGCCTTGAAACTTCTTATACTCAGTGCTCCACTTCTATAAAGTCTAAACCTGCCAGCTCTGTTAAAGTTGAAAACACTCATAAGAGTCATGAAAATTCAGGAAAAGCTAAGCCTATTCCTGATTCCTCACCTTTCAAGTCTAAAACTAGCAAAAATGCCAAGTTGAAGAAACATTTTTCAAAACCTTCAGCTAGCCAACCATCAGTCTTATGCAAAAACTCCTTAGATCTCTCTGGTAAACAAGATCTGCACCATGATTGAAGGTTGACATAGATCCAATGAAATATGAGAAAACAAGTATGCCTCAGAGATCTATGCAAAAAGGGTATTTTAGGTCCTGGTCTAACTTACTTTCATCTTTCCAAGTGTTTTGTAGATGGACCTAAGGCTCGTTTCAACTATAGGAAGAGTTACATATGTGGTGACTCTGCTCATGTTGCCTAAGACTGCCTTAAATCTAGGGAAAAGAAAGTCAAAGCTGAAAAAGAAAAAATCCACCAAATCAACTAACCTTGTTGAACCCATCAAACAATGGGTACCAAAACAACATTACCTAGGTGACTGTAGGACTTCAAGGGCATCAAGTATTTCGATAGTGGCTGCTCCAGACAACGACTGAAAATAGGGCTCTATACAAGGAAGAAAAAGGTCCCTCAATGACCTTTGTGGAATGGAAAAGGATACACCAAGGGATATGGTGTATTGACTAATGGCTTGACTACATTCAAATGTGTTCCTTTTGTTGAAGGACTGAAGCACAATCTTTTAAGCATTAGCCAACTGTGTGACAAATTATTTTGTATGAATTTTAGTGAGAATAAATGTACAGTTAGTGATAAGAAAGGAAAGCTTGAGTTGACTAGAAAAAGAATGAAAAATGTTTATGTTATAGACATGGACTCCAAACTCACTAAAGAAATTTGCTTCTACACTGAAGATTCTCCATGTAAATTGGTTGTGACACAAAAAACTCTCCCATCTGAACTTCAAAAGTACTGAATGATCTATCAAGAAATAAAATGGCCACCAAACTTCCTTAGCACTCCTATGCCAAGGAATCTCTTTAGTCAGCGTGTGAGAAAGGAAAACGGACTAGAGCAAGTTAAACAAATCTTCTTAGTGACAACTCCTCTTCATTTTCTACATATGGATCTATCTGGACCAGTTAATGTTCAATCCATCGTTGGAAAGAAGTATAACCTCGTTATTGTTGACGAGTTCTCCAGTTGGGTCATCTTCCCTATATCCAAAAATGATAAGCCTAAGGAAATAATCTCCTTTGTGAAAAAGATTGAAGTCTTCAACATTAAAATTGTTCACTCAATAAGAAGTGATCATGGCTCTAAATTAAAACATTGTACTGGATAACTTCTTAGAAAACAAATGAATCACGCATAATTTCTCAGCAGTTAGGACACTTGTACAAAATGGAGTCATTGAACGTAGAAATCACGTAATTACTGAAGCTGCTTGCTTCATGCTTAATTAATATCATTTTCCAAACCAATTCTAGGCTGAAGCTGTAGATACAACGTGTTTTACTCAAAACTGCTCACTAGTTGTTAAATGATTCAATAAAACAATGCATGAAATTTCCATGGAAGAAACTCCACTCTCAGTGTTCTTCATATATTGGTTGTCAATGCTATATTCTCAACAACAGAGACAACATAGGAAAATTTGATCTTAAGTCTGATGATGACATCTTTGTGGGATACTCCTCAGTAGCTAAAGCCTTCAAAGTGTTTAATAAAATATGACAGTATATCGAAGAAACCATTCATGTTATGTTCAAAAAATCATGTTTAGATAACTCTAAACCCGCTTATGATGATAAAGAGCTGATGAATGGATGATACCATATTATGGTGAACCTCAAGCATCCTCCAACCATTCTCCTCAAGATGAAGATCTTGATGCTAATGACAATCCTGATGTAATAATTAGCATTTCTTCATACGAAGAGTTAAATCTTCTTTAGGGATCTCTCCAGTTCCGATCAACACTTTACCTCTTTCAGACTTAGCTAATGTTGATCCTCCTAAAAATGTTGAATCCTCCTCAGTAAGTGATCTCTTATCAGAATATTTATTTAATATAAAACTCAACTTAGTTAACGAATTGATACCCTTTCTCTTCAAAATGATACTGAACCACCAGATGAAGCTTCTCCTTCAACATTTGTTTCGTGCTTTTCCACTCCAATCCAAGAATCTGTACCTATTCCTCAACCACTAGCTCTCAAATAGACAAAGAATCTATCAATAGAACAAAATAGATCTCCTCTAGCGATATGCGCATGTGAGATGCTTCGTCTCGAAACCGATTGCTAGCACGTAGAACCAAAAACCCACAAGAGAAAAATCGATTTTCTCTTGTGTTGTATGTCTGTGAAAATCTCTACATAGAGGAGAGGGAAGAAGGAAGCAAAAGTGATTTCTCCTTAACCCTAAACCTAATTATAATTAGGTTTATATACTCCTTCTTTTCCATATATGGGTCAGGCCTTCCTTTTATCAACAAGCTTGGGCCATAAGCCTTCTAACAACTTAATAATCAATTACTTGTTGCACCTAAA